CTCTTTCTAATTCAGTGGCCACACACATGTTTTTTGATGTTGTCATAGTACAGAATGCTAGTTAACAAAATATTACTATATAAATTGTGGTTTTTTGTTGCTGTCTTTTGTTTGTGCTTTACTAAAGTGGAAATTGTAGGGGACCCTATTTTTTGCTGCTGTTTTGTTACCATGAACTGATTACAAGGCTTTATAAGTAAAATTTGTGAGAATGTTAGTAAAAAGTTGTGATGGTTTATTAATAAAGATGTTTACACTTGTTTTTGAAAAGTTATGCTTTTCAGTTGAAGTATGTTTGGATATATTTTGTATGACATGTTCATATTAGTGGTGCCACATGTTGGAAAAGTGTATGAATGTGTGAATATGCATTATATTACTCTATCTGTTAAAATCAAGTGAAGATGTTAGGTTAAAGATGTGATGTTTTATTTATTAAACCGTTGGCACTTGTGATGTTTTGTTACCATGAACTGATTACAAGGGTCTGCATTTTCTGTTTTTTGAGTTGATATTTTTGGATTCATTGGTTTGCTATTTCACTTTCCATTTGACAGCTTCATTTTTCATTTCATATTTCTAAAAAAATAACAATCACAAATTCTTTTAACATCTGTGTATTATGAATTCCATAGTACATCAACAAACCTTCCTAACATATGTATGTGTATTATACTTCTTATTGCAATAAATAAGATACACTTCATTTTTTATTTCATATTTTTATAAAGATAACAACCACAAATTCTTCTAACATCAATGTATTATGAATTGCATACCATACTAACATGTGTATTTACAGTTATATAACTAAAAGTAACACAATGTGAATTTCCAGTTCTATAAATAAAATTAAAAACACTAATTTAATCAATCAAATTTTATATAAACAATCAATTTTTGTAAAACCTAAATACTAAAATAAATGCAATTGTGGATATAAATTAATTTCAACAGCTTAAGGAATATTTACATATGCATCACGAAGACTGAGGCAGGCGGTTTCACCAATGTCTGCTCTCCACTTGCAATATCTTCTTTGTTCATTGTTTTAGATACCGATTCCTTTTCCAATTTCTTCTCCACTATAGTTTTTTTCCTCACATTATATTTCCCCAAATGCTTAAAACCCTCGCAAAATCACATGATTTCTTTTTTGACGGAATAAGATGCAACAACAACAATGACTGAACATCAACAACTGCTATTAAACAAACGAAAGGGAAAACGGACAACCGAAAATACGATACCGCCTCAGAGAGAAAACGAGACGAACCAGATGAGGGAGGGAGGATAAAGGAGGGAAGATAAGGTGAACCAAGAAGAAGATAACAGAAGCTGAGGAAGTAAAGTAAAAACTGAATGACCAAAGGGAAGCCGCTGGCGCACGGTTCGGACGGGAAACCAAAGGACGAGGAAGGAAGAAGAACAGAAGCTCAAAGAATATAAAGAGAAGAGAAGAAAGCAAAGTAAAAAGTGTAATTTGGGCCCACGTATAATTTTGGTATATTATATTCATATATGGTAAGTATGTATTTTGTCTGCAGTATTCGTACATGGTAAAAAAAGTAAGGTTCAAAAGTTACTGCTGACTTGGCGCTTCGTCATTGCTAACAAGGAAATGACATGGCAAGATGGGCTAACGTGTCTTCATCCTAGCCCTTGAATCTGCCATGGACACACTCTAGTGAGAGGTGCCAGTGAGATGATTATAGCCTTATGAATACCCAATAAAAGTAAGACCAAACAACAAAAATTCAAAACCACTTAAACCAAAAAAATGACTAAATAGACCCAAAAATATATATTTTTTTTGATCCATTCAACACCGAATTAATGTAACTTAAAAACAACAATTACCTCAAACTCACAAGCATGAAGGGAAAAAATAGCTAGACAAGAACAAGTTAACTGACCCATTAATCCCAACAAAAATTATATCATACAAGTGAGCTGAACAACAACAACAATCTACCTACATATGAGTTCAACAATTTACCTATTAATACAACATCAAAAGTTCAAAACAATAAAAGCCCTAAACTTGAAAGCATGCTTAAATATAATCATAATGATAAATTGAACTCATACATTAACACCCAACAAAAACAGCATCACAACAGAAACCCTTAACGCAAAAGCACAAGAACATGGGAAAACATATACATACAGGCACATATAAAACAGTTATATATGTTAGTGAGAACCGAACTATAAAAAATTGAACACCCAAATCACATTCTTGAACAGCAAAAACTGGTAAGTAAATGAGGATCAAGAAACAAGCCATCTATTGTTGTAAATTTAAGGTTTAATCTCACCGTTCATCCGTCAATAATTTGTCTCTCCTCAAGAACCCTATCAAGAATCGAAGGATCTGCGAAGACCACGAATCCGAACCCTCTGGGCTTACCAGTGAGCTCATTAGAGTAGATCTAGTGCGGATCTAATGGCTGTGATAGTGCCACTTATTCATATTTTGCCACATCATGATCTAGTCATTGCCTAGTCGGCCAAAAGGTCAAAAAATTACTGAGCTACATTAATTTTTACTATACATACAAATACCATATACAAATACACTTTACAATACAATTTCCTCGTTCTCCCATTTGTCTTCCTCTCTTTTCTTTGTCTTAAACTTATCTTTTCAAAATCAAACATCAAAACCTGTTCTCAAACCCCTCACGCACACTGGTCCATCCATGGCGGTCACACCTTCGGCATGGTAAAGAGAATGTGTACGTGGCGAAGATCGCATACTGCCTATGAAGGGATGTTAGAGTTCATGGAAAAGATCTCGGCGGCGGCAGACTAGTGGAGGAACGCTACTTCCTATCCGTTGCTGACAAGAATGTGATTGATGCAAGAAGAGAGCCTTTGCAACAAGACCACATCTCCATGATCGGAAACTACATATCGAAGGTTGAGTCCCAGCTCTCCTCAATCTGCGATGGTATTCTCAAGTTATATAACTTAGGCATCATCCTTCGGCTTCGATTGGACTCCATAGTCTTTCCCGAGCGATTATCATCATGATCTTGCTGAGTTCGAGGCCGGTTCAGAGCTCAAGGAGGCCACTGAGAGCATACTCAATGCCTACAAATCAATTTAGGTCAAATGCAATTTGATCCAATTTGTTTTCCTAAGTTCAAGGTGTAAAGTGATTTTTTATTTTTATTTTCATGGAATTAGTTATAAGAATATAGTAAGTTTACTGAGCTCGGCCGTGAAATATTTATTAAGATATGTGTCTGTTCTTAATCATTCTTTCAATTTTTTTTTTTTTTTTTTTTTTTTTTTTTTTTGGAAATGTTGTTATGGAACACATTTCACATTAATAAAATTAATTGTAGATGTAATCCCCTTTGCCTAAATAGAATTTTGGTTCAATTCAACTCTACGAAGGCTTATCTTGACAAGTCACGCAGTTGCACAAACTCAGATTTGCCATTATACTCTATCACACAACTTCAATTATATTTTATGCTATCATTTTTATTTTTTTTTTTATCATCTAAACTTGTGTTAATCTTTGTCAGCATTATCCTCAACAGGGACATAGGTGTAGTTATAGTCAACTCCTGATCATTAAATAATATAAATCAGGACAAAACTCTTAATTAATGAAAAAAAAAAAAAAAACATATTTTTTTGGGTTCTAAAAAAAAATTGTCATTTAGAACATGCATCTTTACCTACCAAATAAAAGGTTAATTTTTGATAAGCAAACAGTTGGATCATAGCAATTTCATAACTACCATCATAACTAAAATTTAATTAGTGTAGGACAATATTTATAACATAAATCACAACTCATTTCATTTAAGATATATGAGATTCATAAAATTAACTGAAGTCAAAGGAAAAAATATGCACGTGTTTAGAATAACACTATAACGATTTCATAATTAATAGTTTCCATCACAATTAACCTTTATATAGTGTAGGAACATATTTGTAACAAATATCACAATTTATTTCATTCAAGGGGAAACCAAGTACGTGTCTCATCATAATGATTTCATAACTATCATCATAACTAAATTTCATATAGAGTAAGAACACATTTCTAACATATCATTAATATATATATATATATATAGATATATATAGATAATTCGTAAAATAAACCGAAGTCAAGTGAAAACCCAACATGTGTTTAGAATAACATCATAATGATTTCATAACTAACATCACAACTGAATTTCATATAGTGCAAAAACTCATTTCTAATATAAATCATAACTATTAAATATATATATGAGATTTATAAAATTAACCGAAGTTAAAAGGAAACCAAACACATATTTAGAATAACATCAGAACGATTTTATAAGAGTAATCACAAATAAATTTTATATAGTCTATGAATCAATTTCTTATATAAATCACAACTTATTTAATTAAATATTGAATTAAGCAGGCAAGTTGAGGCATGTCTTCTTTTTTCCAATGGTACTTCTTTTAGTTTATTTTTTGATCCTTGGTACGTAGGATGTTCTTAATTTGCACCAGAAATTTGGTTTAAAGAATCTTATTACTGGTTTCAATACTAATGCTACTGTTAGTAAATTGTGGCAAAGCTCTAGGTGGACTGTACCACCATCTTGGCCATCTGAGATACCACGGTTCTTAATAAGTTCAACACTCCTGAAGCTGATGATGAGATAGGATGGATTGTAGGTCAATTTAGCTTTAGAGCAGCATAAAACATTTGTAGCTAACAAGGTGCTGAGGTTCCATGGTATTCATTGGTTTGGAATGGCAGTAAGCCTAGCTAGGATATCCATTTTTGTTGTGTTGGTGCTGCAGCAAGCAAACAAGTCATTGATACACCTTAAGAACCAGTCTCATTTTCACAGCTATATGTCATAACTGCCACAAGGATGAATACTCAAATGCCCATCTTTTCTGGTCTTGTCCATAAAACTTGACAATAAGAAACTCATAACACAGCAACATGATAACTTAAAAGGTCACTGTGAACTGGGGAAGAATAATAGAATTACACTTCAAGCTGTTGATTAAATAATAGTAGATTTAACATTCATCGTCTAATATTAATACAATAATAGTAATTGAGAAGGCTACATTACTGATTATTTTAAAGAAACAAAATAAAATAGCTCAAAAAACAATTCACAGTGCCAACGACTCAAACCAAAAAACTTTCACTCGGTATTTTGTCTAGAATTCCTCAAGAAATGTCTCTTTCTAAACTCAATGAACAACCAATTATTCAGTTTCACTGTGTACAAGAAAAATTAACCTTGGTGTACAAGATAATAGTCAATTCCTTCTCTGATATCTTTAGTCCCCTGCAAACACAAACACGTTGTTAAATCAAATTAAGTACATTTATAGGATGAAGTAAGAGTAATCAGATTCATATAGATTTATGAAAAACGTCAAAAGAAGATCAACACAAAATAAACAAACTTTAGCAATAAAAGGCTAGTAGGGTGTGCAATTTAACCACTCTACTTGAAAGATTTCTCATGCAAAGAAGTACTAATTTTCTCAAGTTGTTCCTACTCTGGGAGAATCCTAGAGTGAACAAATTAACCTTGTATCATGAGTAAAAGCATCAACTTCCAAGTTTACAGGTCTCACAGAAAACGGTTTCCAATTGTTTTTACTCATTCTCAGTATAGATAAAATAGATATAGTTAGATATATTTTAGGTTTACTAATTTTCCAAGGTCCCAATATGTGCAAGCATACCAGGTATAAGTAATGAGTTGAGAAAAGAGAAACACTAAGAAAATAAATTAATATATATATATATATATATATATATATATATATATCCTTGCTCTTTATTGCATCTAGATTAGATAAAACCCACACATACAATACAAAAGACTGCCACGAAATTCATTCCAATAACAACTCTAAACTTGAGTATATATATATATATATTAAAAAAAGAAGAAATTTCAATGATGTCAATCCAAAACCCTGAAATTGATTAGATTGCAAAAGCAAAATCTCAAATTAAAAGAACCAAAGAAAAGCAACCATTACAAAGAAGGTCAAAATTTTCATTATACATAAAAATTAATATAAAGCATCTAGAGAAAATAAAGAAACATGTAATTGCATTTCAGATTATCAAGAAGTATATAAGGGTCTGTTTGGCTGCTAATAAAATTGTGAAAAATGAAAATTTATTATTATGTCATTGAAGTTGAATCCCAATACCAAAGGGTATTAGGCTAGATGTAGGAGAGATGTTTAATTGTAATCTTTGTGTAGTTAAATCCTAACCGGCATATTTAATTACAATTTTTGTGTAGTTAAAATCTTTGGTTGCACGCTCATCGTCTTCCTCTTCCAAATCCTTATCTTCATCTTTTAGACCTGCTTAAATCAATATATTCAGACTTCTATACTATCAAGTGAATTTTCATTGAAGGAATTTGTAAAACTTAAAGTAAAATTCAACATGGTCAAGGAATGAATATATAAATATAAAATCAAAACCGAAGGAAAATTTTAACATACAACTTTGACCATGTTTATATGACAAATATAAACCACGTTTCTCACATTATTTTAATTGGTTCAATCTTCTTTGTCATTTTATTTTTCATTTCAAAAGAAAATTTATAACAACCATTTCCAATACATTCCTTTCTTCTTCTGTCTTCCATAGAAAACATAATCAGAAATAAAAAACACCACTGAAACATATTGAACAATTAGTCACAAATTTCAGACATTACCGAAAAATTCATCAGGCGTTCGTAACCGATATACTCAAATCTACGTAAATAAGCCATCTTGATAAATGGACACGACTCAAATATTTACTAATATTGGCAAAACAGTATTGAGATCAGATTCAAATTTGTACTAATGTCAGCAACTAATATGGAGGAGGGTAAAAGAAAAATAATAACAATACCCCAAGCATAAGGTCGGCCTTGATCATCAACAGCCAAACAATGCCACCCACCAATAGTTGCCTGCAATCAAGAACCCACCAGTAAATTCCACTCACAACAGTAACACTTATTCTGTGTTCCAATTCAAACTGATATATTGAAATTACCTGACAATTTGTACATGGACTCTTTCTTTATTCTCTATTTTAGTCTCAGGGATGTCCTAAAGTTCCTCTTTGGTTCCAACCTAAAGTAAAAAACTGATAAACACCCAATTGAAAAAAATTAGAAAATAAAAATAAAAATAATCTAACTAACAACAAACAATTCTATCTAAAATAATAATATTAAAGCTACAAATCAACCTAATAGTAATAAAGGGTTCTAAAAAAAATGCAAGAAGAAATAAAAAGAAAATTAACTGATATTTATTTAGATATATATATGTGAGTGATAGATATAAAGGGTAAAAAGGGAACCTTGCAATCTTCACAAACAGTGAGTGAATTGCGACTTCCGGCAACTACATAACGGATGTGTTGAGACTCAAGAGATTTCATTGTGCAAACCCATTATTTCTCTTTGTTGTTGATGATTCCCAACTGTCCGTCTTCTCCAGAGCCCTTGAAAAAAACCAAATCAAAACCCTAAAAAACTCAATCTTTCACCCAACAAAAAAGAAGAATAAGATGAATTGAAGAATATGTTTGTCTTGGCTATTCTTATTTGTGTGTAGTACAAAACCCTAAATCAAATTTCATGGTTAGGAGAAGAGAGGGCTTTTTCTCTTCTGTCCGGAAGAGAATTTGGAAGAAAATGTTTCAAGGGAGTTTTAGAGTTTCAAATGGGAAGTGAAAATTTGAGAATAGCTGACACCAACTAATGAATAAAATAATTATATATAATATATACATACTCTATATAAAGAAGTTGTATAAAATAAATATATATATACTGAAAATGGTAAATATTATTTTACCTCAATTGCCACCTCAGCAATTTTACCCTCACCGGACAGTTTCTAGTGAGAGGGGAATGGAGACGATTTCTTTCCGATAAAGGCTGGGTTTACGATGAGAGAGAAAGAGGAAGAGAAAGAGAATAGGTAAGTGGAGTGAGAGAGTCGGTACGCAAAGTTAAGAGTATTCTGAATGGACGGATGAGATTGTTTTAGTTGGACGATTGTTATTTTTAGGCTTCGTTTGGATACACTGGAGAGAAAAGAAAAGAAAGGATTATGAGAGAAAAGAAAAGAAAAGAAAGTGAAGGAAATGTTTATATTCATGTTTGGATAGATAGGAGAGAAAAGAAAAGAATTGATAATATTGTTGTTTGAATAACAAAAAGGAGAGAAAAGAAAAGAATTGATAATAATAAAATTACTATCTTACCCTTTACCCTTTTTGGTAGGGTTAGAACACAAAATCATTTCAGCCTCCTCCATCTATCTATTCCCGATCTCACAGATCCCTCTCTCTCTCTCTCTCTCTCTCTCTCTCTCTCCAACTACAAAATCTACAAAAATAGTCAAAAACCCATATCAGCTCTCTCTCTCTCTTCAACTGCCAACTACAAAATCTACCAAAATTAGTAGTTCAAAACCCATCTGCTCTCTCTCTCTCTCCCCAGCTGCAAACTACAAAATCTACAAAAATAGAAGGTCAAAACCCATATCGGCTGTCTCTCTCTCCAACTGCCAACTACAAAATCTACAAAATCTACCAAAATCAAAAGACGATCTCTGCAACAGACGATCTCTACAACTTCCAGCGAATTTTCCGGCGTTCTCTGCAACTTCCGGCGAATTTTCAGACGATTTCTGCAACTTCCGGCGACTTTTCCGACGATTTCTGCAACTTCCGGCGAGTTTCCGACAGTCTCTGCAACTTTCGACGAATTTTCCGATGATCTTTGCAACTTCCGGCGAATTTTCAGACGATTTCTGCAACTTCCGGCGACTTTTCCGACGATTTCTGCAACTTCCGGCGAGTTTCCGACAGTCTCTGCAACTTTCGACGAATTTTCCGATGATCTTTGCAACTTCCGGCGAATTTTCAGACGATTTCTGCAACTTCCGGCGACTTTTCCGACGATTTCTGCAACTTCCGGCGAGTTTCCGACAGTCTCTGTAACTTTCGACGAATTTTCCGATGATCTTTGCAACTTCCGGCGACTTTTCCGGATGGGCTCCAAAGGTCATTAGCTCCCTTTCTCTCCAAATCCCTCCAAATCTTGTCAATTTTGGAGGGATTTGGTTTTACTGTTTAGGAGAGATTTGGAGGGATAGGCTATCCCTCCAAATCCTTCCCAATCCTTTCTTTTCTCTCCAAAACCCTCCATCCAAACACACCTATCCCTATCCTTCCCTTTCTTTTCTCTCCAAAACCCTCCAAATCCCTCAATCCAAACGAGGCCTTAAGGTTTGAGAGTCATGGCTTAATGGCTATGATTTAATCTGGGAGTTTTTTTTTTTTCAAATCTGGGAATTTTTAACTTGGTCCACATTAAAGATACGGAGTATTTTACAAAATTCGCAAATTCCCATACATGTATTATACGCATATAATATACACGATATATCAAATTTTAAAAAAGGTATATTTTCTGTACAAATTTTTAATCATATTATTAAAGAAAAAACGTTTTTTTCCAATATTGCGCAATTATAATAACATAACTGGTAATTGACCTAACAATCTTAGGTCCTTTGTTAAATGTTAAGATAAATTAATTTGACTATATAATTAATAACAAGCTAAATATTAATAATAAAACAAATAATAAAAGATCCATTTTTTTTGTAAGTAAATATGTTTACATATATAAACAATTTCATTTAGTATTGGAATATCATTGGAACCAATAACAAAATGGTATAAAAAAATAATTATTTTGTCATTTATATTGATATAGGACGATTTTGTTTAGTATTTAGTATTTTTTTATTATTTAGATTTCTTTTTTCTTTTCTTTTTAATATATTTTTAGGAAGGTTAATTTTAGGTAGTTTCCTCGTGTTTTTTATTTTGTTTAGATTTTTCTAATTTTATTACATTTTTTATTCTATTTTTTTTAAAAGTTAATTTTCTTACTCTATTAGTTTTCTTTTAGTGTTTAGTTTCTTTAGTAATTAACTTTTTTATTTTTATTATAAAATATGTGAGGTCTAAAGATCAGAATTAATTGACACGCATTTATTCAATTATCAAATACAAATAAATTATATATAATTGCTACCATATTTGTAACAACCCTAAATGATGCCAAAATTAAAATAAAATAAAAAATCGGCATGACCTCTGCTAAAAATCGTCCTACAACATGTTTAAATGTATTTTTAACCTGTCCCAATACAATAAACATATAATACATTCCATGGTGGTACAACCACATACTATATCATCCAGATATCATAATTACAGTCTCAAAATACAAGATTAATATCAAATTTCCATGTTTTACAACATAAGTACAAAACAACAAAATAAGCTCCTAATCCATATTAAGCCTGTGGTAGAATGTCATCCGCCACTTCTTTCCCGTTTCCTGAAAAAAAAAAAATGTAAAATAAAAGGGGTGAGCAAAATTGCTCAGTAAGTGGTGCCTAAAATACACATCTTGTGTCCCCATAAATCCAAATAAGGAATAAGACAACAGGAATCGGGGTCATACTATGTCGAGAAAGTACAACATTAAATCCAATCTCAGCATGCACAATATGATGCTATGAAATGTAATGCATGCCGATGTCACTTTCCATTTTCAACATTCAAATTCATCTCTTTTAAACTGTTAATATAACCCGCCCTTTGGTGACCCCGCAGCGTGTCCCTGACCCTTGGTAACCCTGCGGCGTCATTTTGGGCCCAGCTAGCTTAACCACGCTAGGACAATCTCCCTAGTTTCCTCTAGGCTATATTAACACTCCGGCTCTTTGGTACCCCCGCGGCGACCGAGTTTTCATAAAACACTTTATTCAAAACTTCTTTCCCAAAATTTCTTTTTTTCATTTCAAAGCAATTTGTTCCATTTTTCTTCCCAATGTTATCCATGTAATTCGTTATTCTACAACAAATTAAAATTTTAATCTCACATTACATCTTCCAAGAATTTCTAAGAATACATAACATGCTTTCATACAACAATTTTAGCAAGTTAACAACATTGTCGGCTAGGGAAAATAACACATAGAACATACTTTTCACACATAACATAAATTTAACACATATCCACATACTCAAATTTCAAGGTTTAGTCTCCTTAAAACAAAATTAACTCAATCTAGCATAATAAGCAACAAATAACAATAATTATACTCACTAAGGCACAACAATATATGGATTAGAGACCCCTACCCCACTTTTAATCAAAACCCCCAATTTTCACCTCAAAATGGGTCTCAATTTTCAAACTCCCTAGGTTGTTTAAAACTGAAATTGCTGGGACACACGTGTAGAGCTCGTCGTGCTCTCCGTTTTGCCGCAAACAGCACTTAAAAACACTAAGAAATGAGGGAGAAATTAAGCCTTGAATTTGTAAAATAAAAAATAAAATAAAATAAAAAAACAAAGAGCCGAAAGGAAGACACAGAGACAGAGATGGGAGAGAAGGAATGAGATTATAGAGAGCTAAAACAAACGTGGTCTTATGACCACTTAAACCATTAGTGGGTCGCACCTATTTTTTTTTTTTTTTTTTTCTCTTTTTTTTTTTTTTTTTTCCTTTTGTTTTTAACTTACACCACATATCCATACATATCTATATATATTAAATCAGACCATTACAATCTCTCCAACTTAAAAAGATTTCGTCCCTGAAATCAAGCCATACCTGAGGAAGAAAACAACGCTGGGTGCTTGGAGCGAACCTCCTGTTCGAGCTCCCAAGTAACCTCCTCAACTCCGTGGTGTCTCCAGAGAACTTTCACCATTGGTATCGTCTTGTTCCTCAACACCTTCTGCTGTGTGTCAAAGATCTGAACTGGTCCCTCTTCGTAGGAAACATCTTCATCAATGTCCACATCAACCCAACTCAAAATGTGAGATGGATCTGGCTCGTACTTCCGTAACATCGATACATGAAAAACATTATGGACCCTGTCCAACTGTGGTGGCAAAGCAAGTCTGTAGGCAACCTCTCCTACACAGTCCAAAATCTCAAAATGTCCTATGAATCGTGGTGATAACCCGCCACTCTTCCTGAACCTCAACAACCCTTTCCGTGGAGAAACCCGAAGAAAAACGTGGTCTCCCACCTCAAAGGATAACAGTCGTCTCCGCTTATCTGCATAACTCTTCTGTCGGCTCTGAGCTGTAAATAACCTCTGTCTGATCAGCTTAATCTTCTCAATAATCTCGAGTACTATGTCGAGTCCTAAGGCGGCAGTCTCACCCACCTCAGTCCAATAAACAGGTCACCTACAAGGTCTACCATACAACGCCTCAAATGGAGCCATCTGGATACTCGCTTGATAACTGTTGTTGTAGGCAAACTCAATAAGCGGTAGAAGATCTTTCCAACTACCACACAAGTCAAGCACACATCCGAAGCATATCCTTCAAGATTTGGATAGTACACTCCGACTGGCCATCTGTCTGTGGATGAAATGCCGTACTAAGATACAACACTGAACCAAACGCTGCTTGAAGTCTTTCCCAGAACTTTGAAGTGAACTTAGTATCCCTATCTGAGATAATGGTTACTGGAACTCCATGTAACCTTACAATCTCCTTTACATAAAGTACACCAAACTTCTCTACATCGTCTGTTGCCTTAATAGGCAAAAAGTGAGTCGTCTTAGTCAATCTGTCAACGATGACCCATACGGCTTCATCGCCCCTCTGTGACCTTGGAAGACCTGTCACAAAATCCATAGCAATATGTTCCCATTTCCACTGTGCTACAGGTAATGGTTGCAACAAACCAGCTGATCTCTGATACTCGGCCTTCACCTGCTGATAGCTAAGGCACTTAGCCATAAACAGAGCAACATCTTTCTTTATCCCGTTCCACCAATACTGACGTCTCAAATTGTAATACATCTTGGTACCACGTGGATGAACTGCAAAGCGGGAAGTGTGAAACTCCCGTAAAACGTCCTCATGACAAACCATGGGAACCACCAACAAAACCCTGAACCATAGACCCCCATCTGCATACAAGGCCTAATCTTTCACTTTCTCACCACTGGAGATCAAAGCGTGAATGGCATCAAAATTCGGGTCCTGTCTCTGTGACTCAATCACTCGTATAACAAGAGTAGGCTAAGCCACAAGACTAAACAAGAATGCTGGCTCACTGTCAACATCGTCATCAAAACAATACAATCCCACATCTGCCAAATCCTTAAGCATCTTCCACTTCCGAATAGCCAAACAGGCCAGAGTCCCATGAGATTTCCGGCTTAAGGCATTTGCTACCACATTTGCCTTGCCCGGATGATACTGTAAGTCAAAATTATAGTCCTCCAAGAACTCAATCCATCGTCTCTGTCTGTTGTTCAAGTCCTTTTGAGAGAAAAGGTACTTGAGACTTTTATGATCCGAGTACACCTCGAATCTCTCACCATACAAGTAATGTCTTTAACACTTCAAGGCAAATACAACTACCGCTAACTCCAAATCATGAGTAGGGTAGTTAAGCTTGTGACTCTTCAACTGTCGAGACCCATAAGCCACTACTCTACCATCCTGCATCAACACACATCCCAAAGCATCACGTGAAGGGTCACAATAAATCACATAACCCAAGCCACGCTCAGGTATCACCAACACTGGAGCTGTAGTCAATCTTGTCTTCAACTCCTGAAAAGATGACTCACAGGCTTCATTCCACACAAACTTAATCCCTTTCCGGGTCAAACGGGTCATAAGCGCTACCAAACGGGTCATAACCCGCTAGGCTAAGGAAACTCCGAATCTCAAAAACATTCTTGGGTTGCTCCTAATTCAAAATTGCTTCAACCTTTGATGGATCTATTGACACTCCACCTTCTGAAACAACATGCCCCAAAAATTTCACCTCCTGTAGCCAAAACTCACATTTCTCATATTTGGCATACAATCGGTGCTCCCGCAAAATCTGTAAAACAATACTCAAATAGACCTCGTGCTCCTCCCGAGATCGTGAATACACGAGAATATCATCCACGAAAACTACCACAAACTAGTCCAAGTAATCGTGAAAGACGCAATTCATCAAGTCCATGAATGCCGCTGGCGCATTAGTCAAGCCAAAAGGCATAACAAGGAACTCATAGTGTCTATACCATGTACGGAACGCTGTCTTTGGAATATCCTCATCCCTAACCGATAACTGATAGTAGCCTGACCTCAAGTCAATCTTCGAAAAACAACTGGCTCCTCTCAACTTATCAAACAAATCATCTATCCTTGGCAAAGGATACTTATTCTTTATGGTGGCACGATTCAATTTCTGATAATCAATGAACAACCTCAAAGAACCATTTTTCTTCTTAGCAAACAAGACCGGTGCGCCCAACGATGACACACTCAGTCGGATGAAACCTTTCATCCTCAAATCATTAAGCTGCCTTTTTAATTCTTCCAATTCAACTGGTGCCATACGATACGGTGCCATAGAAATCGGCGCGGTACCTAGCATTAACTCAATAGTGAACTCCACTTCTCAGTGTAGAGGCGACTCTGTCAAATCCTCTGAAAGCACATTCAGAAAATCACGAACAACTGCAGGATAATCTTTTTCCACAACATCATCTTCTTCGGCTATAAGGTTAGCTAAGAAGTAATCACCATGACTCTATCCATGAACTTCATAAAACGATGAAATGTGGGAATCACTCCGAAGTCCCACGAAAAAGAAACAGTCTCCCTCGGAAGTGCAAACTGTTACCCTTCCTCTATAACAGTCGATCGTGGCATGAAAGGAAGCTAACCAATCCATCCCGAGAATGACATCAAAGCTAGTCATCTCTAGGAGGGTAAGGTCAAACGCAAAGGTCCGCCCGGCTATCACAATGGAACAATCCTGCATAACTCGGCTCAAAGACATTGAAACCCCAACTGGTGTATCAACACACTACGCCTAATCCATGAAACTAACCTCTAACCCCAATGCAAGTGCAAATGACAATGAAATGAAAGAATGAGATGCACCAGAGTCAAACAAAACATGGGCCCAAGAACCAAACACTGGAAATATACCTCGGAGAACTGAAGATTCAGGAGATGCATCAGTCAGTGCAAGTGCAAAAACACGTCCCTGCGGTGCTTGAGAACTACCAATCTGAACACCAGACTGTTGTGCCGACACAGTAGAAGTATCCCTCCTAGCTGATCGTGAACCCTGAGAAGATATGGCAGGCTGTGGTGGTGGCGGTGGTCTGAAACCTGACTGAACCGTAGCCGACTGTGACGGCCTCTGCTATGACCCTCTGCAACTACCAGTGCCTGGTCCTCAAGTAGGACAATCCCGAATCAGATGGCCCTGCTGGCCACACCCATAACAAGCTCTCGATGGTGCAGAAACTGTGGTTGAGTTCATAGGACATCTGAACTTGTAATGTCCAGGCTGCTGACACTGATAACAAACAACTGCACTCTTATCTGACCCAGCTGGCATAGAGTGGTAGGAGTAGATCATGCAGACGGCCGCCCCTGAAACTGAGATGAACCACCCCTATTCCTCTTCCCTGAAGGTCCCTCTGGAAATGACCCTGCATTCCTCTTTTGTTTCCACTATTCCCTTCTTGCATCTTTATCTTTGGCCTCCGCCTCTAGCATCAATGCCCTTTCCACTGCCTCAGAATAAACCTTGATGCTTTATGCTGTTAACAACGGCCTCATCTTGTAGTCAAGTCCGGAGATAAACTTCCGAACCTTATCAACTTCATTACTCACCATCTCTGCAGCAAAGCGGGAAAGAGAAGTGAACTTGTTCTCGTACTCTGTCACTGACATATTGCCTTGGATAAGGTCAATAAACTGATCCTTTAACTCCCACCTCTTGGGAGCAGGAAAATACTTCTTATATAACAGCTCCTTAAACCTATCCCAACTCATCTCTTCAATCTTATACTGATTTATGATCGATTTCCACCAAAACTTGGCATCCTTTGTAAACTTGTAAGTGGCTAGGATGATTTTCAAGTGATCCTCCGCCACATCCATAGAAGTCAATTGAGTTTCAACTTACTCCATCTGGTCATCCACTACCATGGGATCTGCACCACTTTCAAACATCACTGGCATCAACTGAGAAACTTTAATAATCTTAAGACGCTTCTGTGCTGGCGTCTCCTCTACTTACACTACCGGTTGTGGTACCGGCTGCGGTATCGGCTGCGGCTGAGTAGTAATAGTGGCCCTCAAGGCCTTCTGCAACAAGCGATTTATACTAGTTTCGCCGAACTTTCACCCTCTTCAACGGGTGCTTCCACGTTATCCCTACTTATAGGGAAACTTCTAGGGGCAATCAAATCCCTAAGAAGTGTGTCCTCGTCAACTGGCTCCGCCGGATTAGAGCTCGAGCTCTCGCCAACATCACCCCTTGTTGGCCTAGAACCAACTTCCCTTAGTTCTTCACACCGTGACATCGTTCTATAAAACAAAGAAAACGATTCAATAATGATAACACTAAGGTCCAGCCGTGAACAACTCAACATAAAAGGATGTTATACTAACACTTAACATGCAAGACTACGCAATGAACACATTAATATAAGCATTTAAGCACATAAGCATGTAAGCATGTAAACAAGTAAACAGTTAAGCATGCTTTTGCACATAGCAAAACACTTTAACAATTAATCACATAAACTATGTAAACGACTTCACATGCAACCCCTATGTAGGCCTCTACCCGTCGTCCTAATGGTTTTCGAACCTCTGCTCTGATACCAAATTTGTAACGACCCTAAATGATGCCAAAATTGAAAAGAAAAAAAAAAAAAAAAAAAAAAAAAAAAAAAAAAAGTTCGACATGACCTCTGCTAAAAATCGTCCTACAACAACATGTTTAAATGCATTTTTAACTTGTCCCAACGCAATAAACATATAATACATTCCATGGTGGTACAACCATATACTATATCATCTATATATCATAATTACAGTCCCAAAATACAAGATTAATATTAAATGTCCATGTTTTACAACATAAGTACAAAACAACAAAATAAGCTCCTAATCCATACTAAGTCTGTGGTAGAATGTCATCCACCACTTCTTTTCCGTTTTCTGAAAAAATATATTAAATAAAAGGGTTGAGCAAAATTGCTCAGTAGGTGGTGCCTAAGACACACCTCTTGTGTCCCCATGAATCCAAACAAGGAATAGGGCAATAGGAATCGGGGTCATACTATGTCGGGAAAGTACAACATTAAATCCAATCTCAGTATGCACAATATGATGCTATGAAATGAAATGCATGCCGATATCACTCCCCATTTTCAACATTCAAATCCATCTCTTTTAAACTGTTAATATAACCCGCCCTTTAGTGATCTCGCAGCGACACGAGAAAAGGATTGGCTAGTGTCCCTGACCCTTGGTAACCCCGCGGCGTCATTTTGGGCCAAGCTAGCTCAACCACGCTAGGGCAATCTCCCTAATTCCCTCTAGGCTATATTAACATTCCGGCCATTTGGTACCCCCGCGGCCACCAGGTTTTCATAAAACACTTTGATCAAAACTTCTTTCCCAAAATTTCTTTTTTTCATTTCAAAGCAATTTGTTCTCTTTTTCTTCCCAATGCTATGCATGAATGCTTCATGCCATATAATTCATCATTGTACAACAAATTAAAATTTTAATCTCACATTACACCTTCCAAGAATTTCTAAGAATACATAACATGCTTTCATACAACAATTTTAGCAAGTTAACAATATTATCGGCTAGGGAAAATAACACATAGAACATACTTTTCACACATAACATAAATTTAACACATATCCACATACTCAAATTTCAAGGTTTAGTCTCCTTTAAACAAAATCAACTCAATCTAGCATAATAAGTAACAAATAACAATAATTATACTCACTAAGGCACAAGAATATATGAATTAGAGACCCCTACCTCACTTTTAAGCAAAACTCCCAATTTTCACCTCAAATCTTCAAAATGGGTCTTAATTTTCGGACTCCCTAGGTTGCTCAAAACTGAAATTGCTGGTACACATGTGTAGAACTCGCCGTGCTCTCCGTTTTGCCGCAAACGGCACTTAAAAACACTAACAAATGAGGGAGAAATCAAGCCTTGAATTTGTAAAAAAATAAAAAAAAACAAAGAGCAGAGAGGAAGACACAGAGACATAAACGAGAGAGACGGAATTAGATTACAGAGAGTCTTATGACCACTTAAACCATTAGTGGGTCCCATCTTTTTTTTTTTTTTTTTTTGAATTTTCTTTTCTCTCTTTTTTTTTTCCTTTTGTTTTTAACTTACACCACATATCTATATATATTAAATCAGACCATTACAATATTGTTTACCACAGTTTTTTGTATTAACATTCATATTGTATCCATCTACACATATATGTGTAGTCTTACGATTTATAATTTATATTTTTTAAAAACGAACTTTTTAAAAAAAGAATTATACATATAATGTATTTTTTTTTTTACGAAGAGAATCAAGCTTATAAGTTAATCTATTGGATCACATTAACAGGATGGTTCATCCAACCTAGGTTGGAACCTTATCCATATCTTGGAACTGTCTCTCAATCTCAATAATCAGTTTTCTTATCTTAATAATATATTTTATCAAATATCTATTTGATTTACCTGTTATATTGTTTATATTTGTTGATAACTATTCGATGTGGTACAATACTTGGATTCGAACTCAATTATAGTATTCTTTTCATTGTTGTATAAATTGTAAACCTTGCTAATTGCATTTTTAGATTTATGTTCATGTTAGTGTCATTTTATTAAATGTTAAAAAGTGATGTCTCTTTTGGTAACATTTTCTGCTATGATCTTGATTAATTGCTTCTAAATGTCTCATGAAGTGTATAATTCATACAATCTTAATATTCTAAGCAAGGCATCAGCATGATATGAATGATATGAATTGGGTGGTATAATTTCTCCTTCCCAAAGAGAGAGACGAGCGTTCGAGTTTCATAGCAGGCCATGTGAGTATACGTATGAATGCGCCTAATAAGAATATGAAACTCGAATCTATTTGGTGTATATATCCTGCAATTATCTTCATGGGTGATTTTATTTTGGAAATAGTAAATAATCGTGTATAAGTGGCTGGTAAATTAAAAAATAAATAAAAAAACCTACTCTGCATTATGATTTCTTGGACCATTGTATATATAGCGCGCTGATGAGCAATCTTTCTTTTGCAATATATTTCATGATAGTAAACAAAATATTACAACTACGCGACATGAAAGTAACTGCATCTAGTTTACGTTACAATATTTCTCCGGAAAATGAAAATGACTATATATGTATATAACTATGAACTTGTAACATTGCTTATGTGTTGATCATGAATAAATGGAAGTACATGATTTTAAATCATGCTAGGAATCCAAGTCTCTCTCCATTCTTCTTCGCTAGTTGAATTAGTCCTTGTCGTTGTTTCACGTCTGTCCCTATCGATTTGCAGAATTTGGTAATCACCTGAAAAAATGAACAAGTTCATGTAAATATATATATATAAGCATATATGCAGCCACATTCATAATGGCTTAATTACGCTTAACTCCATGTGCTATCATGCATTTTTTAGCACATTCTTGAACTATCAAAAAAAATAACTTACAAGGTGTCGTTAGATTGGGTGTAAAATGACACTATTGCCCTTTCAAAGAGAAATATGTTCTATTACAGAAAATATCAAAAGGGGCAATAAAGTCATTATACAGATATTATTCATGTTGCATTGTGCTAGTAACCAAAATTGAGCAGGACCATGTTTTTGTAGCCTCAAGAGTTGTATGCAAAATATATAGATACGAAAGACTAATGATATATATATATATATATATATATATATATACCTGAGAGTGTAAAGCAATGGCTTTGCCTCTGAACTGATTGAATTGCTTCTTGCCGATGATATCACGAGTGACAACAACCACCGGAGCAAAGACACCCTTCCCTTCATTCACGTTCTTCATCATAACTTGTGATCGTGTCGGCTTTCCGACTCGAACATGGTTGGGCACTGACTTGACCAGCATGGTGTGATCATGTCCAGCCATTGATGTTCCCCAACTTCCATGGAAGGAAGAGCTCAAACCTCCTTTAAATCCAGCTGCAGAAATTGAAGTTGCCATTGAAGATAGCTCAACTAGCAAGATCTAGTAGGTATTCTTCAAACTTTTGGTGAAATGGGTGGTGGTTTTAATTTGCTTTCTGTTCTTTGTTTGTGTGAAGTTTGGTGTGTAAAGTTGAGATCCTTTGGTGTCCTTTTATACTATGGTATGTGTATGTGTGTTTGTATGTGTGAGAGAGATATTTGTTTGTGAAGGTATGATGTTTTGTTGTGTAAAGTTGAGAGCCGTTGGTGGCCTTTTATAGGACGGTAGTGTGTGACTGTGTGAGTGTGAGATGCATTACGAGCCACAAAAACTGGTGGGTTGGAATTTTTGTGCCGATGTTCCCAAACGCGTATTTCAATTGAATAGGCTTTTCTCCTACGGTCACCAGCTACATTTGGACATCTGTTTGTGTTCTTCTAGTGGCTCTTTCTACGATCTGGGTCCCAATACTCTTCTATCAGTCAATTGGGTAATCACAACCATCAAACTCGAATACTTTCCACTTTGACCTAAATTTTTGATGACTTTATGGTAATGACCAAAGAATGTCATACTCATACCTTCCTGTTTCTCACCAACTGCATGTGAAATTCATGCTGGAGGCTGGACGGCCATGCAATGAAGAGGAATTAAACTATGAATTTGCAGCCGTTGATGTCTGCATCAAAGGAAGGTTCTGCAACTGTTCGTGAAGTTTCTTAATTCTCAAGTTTTGAATTTTTTTTATTTTTTATTTTTTTGACAAACCCAAAGAAATTTCAGTGGACTCTTTTAATTGAACTCTCTTAAAATCTGGTATTCAATAAAAATTATTAAAGTTAATCCTATAAGTTGCAAGAACCATAAGATCCAGATTTGACTCCTAATTCTACTGATTCAAAATAGTATTATAAAATGAAATTCAACACCAAATAACATCACAATTAGAAACCACAAACTAGTCGAAAACCAATGCGATGCAGAGGTGAATAAGTCTAATAATTTAATGTATTCCAAATGTTTCTTACTTCAAAATTTTGAATAATCAAGTATGCCTTGGATTTCACAATCTGTATGGTCCTGTAAACTTCTAGAAGGAGAGGAAAGTTAGGTATACTACAGATAAGCAATTTGCTTTACTAAAAAAAAATTTAAGAATCTAGGTTTTAGAAGCTTCTCACACAGAGAAACCAAACTATTTTACCTACCTGATCTTAACAACGAAGGATTACACTTGTGATACCAATGGGCATTAGCTTGGTTGATATGATCTCTCCCCCCTAAAGGAGAGGTTGAGAGTTCAAGCCATGCTAAGGACAATATTGTGGGTGTGTGCGCGTTTGCTTGAACTTTCGGGAAATAAAAAAAGGACTACACTTCGGGAAGTTTCCTTTCCCACATGCCTCCTGAAGAAGAAAGCCATAAGTTTTCCAGTTGCTGCTAGTGATCTCGTTCCATTTGTATGTAGCCAGTTACCTGCATCTGGAAAGGATTTAAAGTTAGGGGTCCCTGGAACAGACATTTCCTATCTGTGCATAGGCAATGGACAATGAAACAAAGACAAAGTTCAATATATGTTGCAATCAAACTAATGCAGTCCAAAAGAGGGAGTTCTATAATTAAATGGCGAGTCATGACTGTATCATATGTTGTTTAGATGTAGTTTAGATATGGTTGTGTAAACAAGTAGCTCTGTTTTTCGGAGTGTGTGAGAACAACATTAAATAGGAGTTGCAAAACCAGATTAGAAGGAATTAACGAACACATTATGTTAAAAAGTACTACAGTTTATTCAATCACTAAACTAACTGTAACAAAAGATTGCTAAGCCAAAGTAAAAAGTTCATATTGGACAAAGTAAAACTGGAGTCCAGCATATGACAGTCCGCTGGACATCTAGGATCAACTGGATGTTATTGCTTCACGAGAGCAAGATGCTGCCTTGATCCAAAATATTAATTTGACCTCTAGCAGTAACCCTTTGTCCTAACCCTTCTTGTCCTCACAGGTGATGGACATCTTCTTAACAGCCTTTCTCTTGTGACCTGATCCCCACCCTTTAAAGTTTGGGACACAAATCCTACAGTATAATATAGAACGAGAAAAATCGGATGAGAAAATTTAATTTTTCGCGTTTTATTTTGTTTTTGTCTCACATAATTATAAAATCGCTACATAGTCCATACCTTAAGAATCTACTATTACCTCATTGGAAAATATAAAAGCATGAAGCGCAGAAACAAGGCTGAAGGTAGAAAGACTGAAAAGATTGCCAATTTTCAGGGAAAAGAAAAGGCATTCATGATTCACCTATTCACCTGCAAATGATTACAACTATCAAGTCAGTAAAAAGCTCAGATTAGAACTCTTCCATAAGCTACCTAAGTAACCACCTTTTGGTGCGATTATATATTTATACTAACTAATTTATTCAGTAAACTGCATCATGACTTACGGATTCTTCTAAATGGATGAAATACCTGTATTTGACACACGACATCTGGTATGGGTATGGGATACTCATCCAACTTGTCTAGTCGGACATGCAAATGTAAAGTGCATAAAAATCTCCTATTATATTCTTTTTGTCACCTAATTGCTTCAAAAGGAATGAAATGCGGACGTTGAACACCACATGACATTCAAACACCATTTAACCCTAAAATTGAAGAAGAATTTTGAAAAATACGAATGTTTAGACGTGTCTTTCTGTCCTTTGTTTTGGAGATTGCATAAATACAATGCTTAGACATGTACCCTATTATTTGTAACAAAGATTACAAAGATTGAATAAAAATAATAATAAAAGAATGAATGGTCCCAATATAAAGAAAGAAGATTCAAGTTGAATTCACATTGTTGCATCACAGTTCTCACATACTGTGAGCTTGCTATGATTGGAAGGCTATCTAACTCAGCTTTCAAATCTCAATACCATTAAAAGGCTTCAAGGTATATTCCACGAAATCGACATGACAAGACCAAAGAAGAATCACCCATTCCTCACCACCATTGTATAAGAGTTCTTCAGCTAGGGTCTTTTACAAGTGCACTTGGACATAGTAGACACAGGAAGATTCAATAACCAATACTCTTTTCCAAGGCATTACAGGGACAAAACCATCCTCTAAAATACAATGGAGCCAACAAAGAAAATAGGATCATCACTACTAAATTGTAGAAATATTAAGAATACATCCTTCCTTAGTCATTTCTCTAATCACTTCCCTCGTTCACATCTCCTAAAGTAGCACATGAATTATACAGATTAACATTGTCTGGAAGGTTCTTGGGTTCTAGTCCAATATCTATGAGCTAAACCCTTCATTTCAACAAAAAGTTGCACGGGCGCTTACAAGAGCTCTCCAATCTCCAACTGACAAACTGATCAAGCTTCACAAACATTGTTTTGATAAAATCTAATGTTTGGTAGAGCTTATGTAATTTACCAAACATATTGACAATAAGGCATTAATCTCCGCACTCAGTTTAACTTCCACAATTATTCACTATTAAGCTATAAATGTCAGAAACTTCACTTGTCAATCCTGAACCACCACAAGCAGAAAGAAAACCAACCATCATCGTCGTGTCTTATTATGAAACATTATTGCATCCCATTGTAATATCCCTTATTTTAAAAGGATGGTCTTGGCATTTTAATTATGGTTTTATTGCATTTTTGTGTGATTAATTGATTATTTGCTAAATTGTTTAATTGTTTTATTATTTATTTTATTTAATTGTTTAATTGTGTATTTAATTACATTTTTGATTAATTGGTTGTTTAATTGAGTTAATTGTATTTTTATTTTCTTGAATTGGCTAATTGTATTTTTATTTTTCTTTATTGGAAATTACTTGTTTTAATTGGATTAAATTGGTGTAATAGTTATAATGTTGCAATTAGGTTTTATTCTTTTAGAAATCACGTATGGGCCGACTAGGGTTCAGTTTAGGGTTTTAATTGGACTTAGGTTTTGGTAATCTCCTATAAATATATATGTCATATGTCTGCCTAGGGTTTTAGAACCCTATTCACGGCACAATGAAGACAGAGCGACATAACAGAGACTTGTGAGAAAACAGAGCAAGTTCGGTGAGGGTTTTGGCCGTGGCTTAAAGGTCGAACCTAGGAGGAGGGAAGGCTGAGCAGTAGGAGGTTGAGTAGACATTAAACGAACGTTGTCAGAAAGCTTAGGAAGACGGCGACAAGGTTTTGATTCCAAAACCACACAGGCAAGTTCTATTATGTCCCTCTCCCCTTGGCCTGTGTTCTGTGCATACCTAGGTGGTCTCTAGGGTTTTAATTAAACGTTAACTGAATCTTGCATGCTTAGTTTGTGTTAAATTAATCAACTGTATGTGTTTTAATTTAATCTGTAACTGTTCTTGCAAGTTGGAGTTCGTTATCTGTTTTAAAGTATAATGAATCCGTGGTTTTTCTAATTGTTGTTATTAATTCCTACTGTTGTAAACACATGAGTGGGATGCTACTGGGTATAAATTAGACTCTTAGGTTCAGTATTAATGAAGAACAGAAGGGTAGAAGTGGCCGAAGACGAAGCAAACGGTCAGAAACGGATCGGGCTCTCAGAGAGGGAGAGAGTCGGCTCCATGGAAGAGGGAGCTGGCTCCCTCAAGTGCAGAGCCGGCTCTAGGGGGTTTAGAGCCGGCTCCCACCCCTCTAGAGCCGGCTCCAAGGTGCATGGAGCCGACTCCATGCATGGACAGAGCCTGCTCTCAAGTTTTGAGAGCAGGCTCCCTTGTTTTAACGCAGTCTGGAATGGTTTTAGGCACTGTTTGGACAATTTGGGTTTCACGAACTGTTTGGAATATTAATGAAGGTTCTATATATTAATTCAGAGTGTATTGAAACCCTAGGAGGCATAATTTATCTCTATATGCTAATGGTTTTCACAGTGTGGAAGTTTAAACAATGTCGCATACTGTTGACGGATTTAAAGCATTTAGTTGCTTAAACTTATTTTCAGCAACTTAGATGACTAGAGTATAATTTCTAAATTTATTTTGGATGCATAATAAATTCTTTTACATATTAGATTTTGTTATGGTTCTCCTGGATTTTAATTGATGAATTAATAAAATTTATTCTGTCAAGTACATGAAAGTTTCCCTGGATTTTAATTGATGAATTAATAAAATGTATTCTGTCAATTATATGGAAGTTAACCTGGATTTTAATTGAGGAATCATTAAATTATATTCCGTCAATTACCTGGATTTATGTGTTGGAATTTAATTGCTGAATTATTATATTAAATTCTGTCAATTATATGGATGTTATGGATTGCATGCACCGGTATGGGACGGTGGCAAACTAGGGATGGTTTAGCTCAGAACGCTAAGACCTAACCCATTGGAATAAGAGAATGGATTGTAAAAATTGAATCCTACTTATAATTAGGTCAGATCAACTGAGTAAGTTGGGTGACTATATGGATTAATTGTTATTTGTAGTTAAGTCAGATCAACTGGATAAGCTGAGTGACTAACTGGATTATAAATCTTATGTCAGATCAACAAAGAATTGAAATGACATACTCTGGTTTTGGACGGACTTTAAATATATGAATATGGTACCACGATATGAGCTTGAGTCTCAGAGTCGATGGTTAGGGCGCGTATATGCAGTAGATGTGTAGCTGGCTATGATAGGTTGAGGTGTACCCTGTTAGGCTTAGGTACTCATGCCCACTCAGATGCGTTTTGCATGTTGCCTTCTATTCAGGTTAAGACCCCCTTTGTAGTCCAATGAATGTCCCTTAGTGTGGGAGACAGTCACTCATTCATCTGTTTACGTAGGACTTCTCTCTATGTTTTAGTTTGGGATTTTATTTTCAGTTATTCAGTTTCAGTTGGGATTTTGTTTAGGGGTCCACTAGATGGATTCTCGAGTTGTACTCTTGGAGGTTTTGGAGAGTTGGATTATTTTTATTCATTATCATTTTGAGGATTTTATATTAGCAATTCCTTCAGTTTTGTTATTTATTCTTTAATTCATTTTGTATTCTTGTTTGTTTATGTATTAATTGTTTGATATTCCCTCGGGTTTGAGCTTGGGCCTGATCAACCCATGTCTCGGAGTCAAGGGGTATCACACCCATGATGAAGCATCTCATACACAATGAGTGGCTCCATACCCTATACTTCCATGTCCATATCTGGAAATCATCTAGAATGAGGGCACAATCCAAGCTGTCAAAATTTGAAAAGGTATAATATAAAGCACAACTTAGAAAACATGTCATGGTTACATGGCTTGCTAATGGAGAATTTATCCACTTACCTTGCACCAAGGCGATGAGGACTAAATGAGGACAATTGTAAGTTGAAAAGAGGTTATCAATGGATCGCATATGATTTGAACCAGATTGGGTAATTTGGATCTGCTGGTAATGTTGCGACCCATTAACTCAATTATGATCTCAATCCAGAATCAACCTTGGATTTGGTATGACACAATCTGATTATTACCAATCTATATTATATATAAATATCATTTCATAAATATCAATTGAATCACCTACCGAGAGAGAGAGGGAGAGAGAGATAAATATCCAATTTATCAATCTGTCAAGAACAAGTGAATAATATTTCTGATTTCTTGATCAACTAAAATGAACATTTTGACACTGCACTATATTGAAATGATGTTTCTACATAGCATTGGAATCATTTGTTTCCTATAGAATTTCAAAAAGAGTGTTCTTATGTATAGGAAAATGAGCTGTATGACGCGATTTTCAACAATATATTATCAATTTGTATGCTTTCTTATAGTAGAAAACTTCATTTATTTCTTAGTGACTCAATACTCCTACTCTAGTATAGAGAATGGCTTCCCACTTTCATCATTATTGGAGCTTAACTTGCTTCTCTGTCCCATTGATTCTGCTCTTAAAAGCTGTCACACTGACATGCCATACATGTATTTTTCATGTGCAATATATATTTAGCATGTTTATATGATTATGTTCCATAATCACATACCTGCAATCAAGGGCTTGGTTATATAAACTTTGTATAAACATGTGTTACATATCAATAAAAGTATTTCAGTGTTGAAACTTCCCTTAATCTGATACAAAAATCTTATCGATACATTAACCATTAAAAAAGAATATATCGGTCCCAGGTGAATCTATCTTAACCTTAAATGGCCACAAGGAAGAAGATAGAACAAACCTGAGCAAAAATACATTTCACCACACAGTTGACAGATCCCAAAATGACAGATGGGAAAAGAGCTCCTATCATCAGTTTGCTCTCTGTTTGTTGCAGCACCACACAATTGTACAAGACAGATCACTAACCCATTGGTGTCATATGACTATGTCAAATATTCAAAATCAGAAGAAGAACCCGTTCCCTTCATTGCCAAAACGAGTTCATCTAGCATTTTATAAATTATATCAGAACAAGGATGTCCTTTATCAGCAACACAGAAGCTATGGGTTTTGCTATTAATGTTAATCCAACTGCACCCAGGCAACTTCCTCAATCCTCTATCTTTCATCATTGTTCTCACCTCGGCCACAACATCCCACCTCCGGGAAGAGGCATATAAATTTGATAATGAAACATAATTTGAGGGGTTTTCAGGTTCTATCTGAATAAGGAACCTATAAGCCAAATCTTGCATCTCAGAGTTCCCATGAAGTAAGGAAGCACTAACAAGAGCACCCCAAACACTAGGACCAGGTTGCAAGGGCATTGTCTTGATGAATTCCAATGCACGATCAAGCTGGCCTGATCGACCCAACATATCTACCACACATGCACATATCTCTAGTGTAGGCTTAATCCCATAATCATTTACAACTGAGCTATAGATATTAAGGCCTTCATTTACCAATCCTGACCTGCCACAAGCAGAAAGGACCCCTACTATTGTAATCATATCTGGTTTTATCCCAAGTTGAAGCATCTTATCAAAAAGAACAATGGCTTCCTGACCCTCCCCATGTAATCCGTATCCAGAAATCATTGAACTCCAAGAGATTGCATCTTTACAAATAGAATCGTCATTGAAGACTCGTCTTGCACATTTCAAGCTCCCACACTTGGAATACATATCAATCAGTGCATTGCATAAAGTAATTTCATGATTCAATTCCTTTCTAATGGCAAACCCATGGATTTGTTTCCCACCCATTAAACCAGCAAGTGAGCTACAAGCAGGGAGAATGCTAACAAGCGAAACCCTATTGGGCTCTATTCCATCTCTCACTTGCATTTCTCGAAAAAGAACCAAAGCTTCATCTGAAGCACCACTCTGTACATAACCATTGAACATCGCTGTCCAGGCGAAAACATTCCTACACTTCATCCGGTCAAAAACCATTCTACCTACATTGGCTTTATCATTTCTCGAATACATATCGATCAAACAACAACCCAAGTGAACATCTGAACCCAAACTCAAAGCCAGTTCATTCTTCACAATATAACAATGAAGCTCTCTACCATAATACCATTTCCCATTATTGGCACCACACAAAGGAAGAAGACTAGAAACGGTGAAAGCATCCGGTCGCATTCCTTCAACCTCCATACATTTAACAAACTTCCACATTTCCTCATCAAAATTATGATCCTGTAAAACCGCATAACCCGCTATTATAACATTCCAAGAAGAGACATTTCTTTGCGGCATTTCATCGAACAACTGGCGAGACCCACCAAAATCCTCACATTTACCGTACATTGACATAAGGGAATTAGCAACTACAGTGTCTGACACAACCCCAATTCGTATACACTTGTTATGAATCGCTTTCCCAACTCGCAAGTCCCCAATCTCACCGGAGACTTTTGAAAGCGTCGAAAGCGTAAAGTCATCGGGCAAGTCCTCACTTCGGCACATTTGGTTGAAAAGATCAAAGCTTTCATTGTACAAACAATTCTTCGCATACCCATTAATCAGTGTGTTCCATAGATACACATTCTTGATACCAACATAGTCGAAAACGAGTCGCGAGTCAACTGGGTTTTTGCATACAGAGTATGCCGAGATGAGTTTCGTCACAATGAAAGGATTTTGATCGGACCCATGATGATAGACTAGAGCATGGGATTGTTGGGTGAGTTTCAGAGATTGATTGTCGATTGAGAGTTGGAGAAGTTGGAGGAGAGAGAAAGGGGGGTCGAGCTTGGTGGCAGAAGTGTAATAACGAGAGGTTAAAGGGCCAGAAACAAATCCTTTACATGCAGAGAAGAAGATCATTAATCAAGACGAAAGCGTTGAGTTTTGCCACTGATTTTGCAAAGACGCTGAGATTGTGTTTCTGTTCTTAGAAGACTGATTGTGGGAGAGGAGTTACTGCTTTAAATGGTTGTACATAGTGGACAGGTGAATCTACTTCAAAATAGAAATAGAAGGATAAATTAGTCTAAAATGTACAACTTCCTAGTTGAGGATTTGTATTTTCGGATGTTACAACTTACAACGTAGAAGTGTCAATTTTGTGGTCAGTAACCTTGTGTACTACCACCGTTGAATTTTCTTGTTGTGTTTTAATTAAATTAATTGATGTAAAAATTAAAAATATTTTAAAGCGTAATTTAGATATTGTACCTGATTAATAATTAAATTATATAATATTTTTAGAATATTTATGTAATCCTCAGTAAGTTTCTGCAAAATATTAGAACGTTTTACCCTTTTCTGAGAGTTGTCGATACGATAGGACTAAATAAGGGTTTTAAAACCCTTATATATAATAACAACAGAGGGGGACGGCTTCTCTACAAACAAGCATATCTAAGTCTCCCTTCCTATCATGGAAACTTAGATATCAATGGTTAGAATTAAATCATACCAAATAAGTTGAAAAACCACAATCCAACGGTATAAAATCATACTCCTAATTAAACCACCAAATTGGAAAGTACAACCCAATCCATCAAGTATCAATAATCACATTGTAATCCTATTTTAGAAAACGTAGTACATAGGATCATAAAATAATTTTTATTATTTAAATATATATATAAAAATTCCAATCTCCCACTTGGTCCATGCACTCTAAGTTTTATAAAATGATACTATGGATTGCAACACACTTTATAAAAGTCGAGTGGCCACTTATTTTTATTTAGAAAATACAATTATCGAAATTGATGGATTGAAACTTTAGAACACTCTCCTTCATAAATTTCCTCAATAGTGGATCATGAATGCGTAGACAAGTAATATATTAGTCTAAATAGTTCCATGGACTCAAAACTGATTCCATCTAGGATTCAAGCAAATATAGTGGTTTTACTGTATTTCATGAGATGTGCAAACTGCATGGGGTCTAAACGCGCACCTCACTATCCGTATTGCTTTATACCATCGCGGTATGTCACCTACACATATTACAGCAAACCGCCAACCTTCTGTTCAATGTGAGGGTTTACCGATATGGAGTAAATCCCATATCTAACCCAAGCTATCCATCCTACTTCATACCATTGCGGTATGTCACCTGAACATATTACAGCAAATCGCCAACCTTTTGTTCAGTGTGAGGGTTTACTGATATGGAGCCAATCCCATATCTAGCCCAAGCTATTCTCATGGAGTGTGAAAAAACTCCCATAGGCAAAATTTAATATTTATGTTTGGATTTACCAATATGGTGTCAATCTCACATCTAATCCAAACAACCTCATGAGTGAAATACCACTCCCAGACAAATCTTATATTTGGATTTACCGATATAGCGTCAATCTCATATCTAACCCAAACAACCATATGAGTGAATTATCACTCTCAGACAACCTTTAATAATTATTTTGGATTTATCGATGTGGTGTCAATCTCACATCTAACCCAAACAACCTCATGAGTGAAATATCACTCCAGGCAAACATAATAGCACGTGCATAAACCATATATATCAAGATAATAATAATTATGCATCATAACTTTATTTTAGATACAAATAATTGTCACCATAAGGCGTAAACTGGAGGAAAAATAACTGTCACCACAAGGTGTAAAGAAACTAACTGCAATGTAGCATATATAAAAGAAATACCAAACATCATAACATCATAACATAATGACTCTCGAATACCTATCCGAATCACATGCTTTATAAATACTTTATTATCTTTAGCTGAAAACCTTTAGTGAGAGGACATGTAACAATCTTTCTGTAACCATATGGGAAAATCTTAAAGGCACTTAAACCTTAACTTTCTCATGCTTGAAAATGAAATTTATGTCAATGGGCTTACTATGCTTGGTCACCGTTAAAATTTTTCATATACTTAATTAATATAAGCCTTTTGAGAAAGTCCAAATATTTCAGTAGCATAATCTATGTGGTTTCTAAAGCCAAAGACATACTTTGCATACCCATGTCCTTCATGTCAAAACTTTACATAAAATTCTTAATATCATGTATCACATGAATGTCATTGCTACCTTGCAAAATATCATCAACATATAGGACAAGGAAAATAAAATGACTCCCACTAAACTTGAGATATATGCATTTATCCATAACATTCTCTTTGAACTTACAATTAGTAACCACTGTATCAAAATTTTGGATACTACTACTTTAAAACTTACTTAATCCATAAATGAGTGATAATGAAAGAATGACTCTTAAAAAGTCCTTTAATTAAGCTGGAGAAAATCTCAAAGAAATCAACACTTAACTTTTGCTTAAGTACTTAGCCATCAATTTTTGTCTTATATCCACCAGACATCTCAAAATTACCAACTACAGCATACTTCCAAGCTCTAGAAAATCTCCTAAGCTAAACTAGCTTAGGAACTAGATTGGAAACTGAAAGAAAGGTCTGCAAAGGAGAAAAAATTGAAAGAGTAGGAATATGAGTTTTAACTGAAACCACTAAAGAAAGTGGAATGAAGCCTTGGATAAATAGAATAGATGCTAAAAATACCTTTCTGCAAAAAGAAACTACAATATCTTAAACTCCCAGTGGATTCACCACTCTCATTAAATATGCATGACATATTCCAATAATCTCCATAGGTCTACAAGATAGTAAAATCTCGAATTCTTTAATCTTTCAAGATGTCTAATAAAAATAATCATTGGTAATGTGAGTATTAAGCTCCTTAATATCTGCATTATATAACTATATCTCTATAAGATATCCCTACACTTTCTATTTTCTGCAACTTTATTCTGTTCAGGAAAACTAGGAATGGTGTATTATGACACAATGTCTTACTCTTTAAGTATGTATTGAAAATACTACTATTTACACACTCCTTATCATTCTCCTATTAAAACTCACCACCTTAGTCTGATCTTAAAACTACTTTCAACTTTAGTCTAGTAGATTTTACACACACCAAGTGCTTCGGACTTCTGGTGGATTAAGTACACAATCATACCTTGAGAACCAATCAATGAAGACAATGAAATACCTTTGCTGCAAACGAGCTACAATAAGAAATGGACCACAAATGTCGGTATAAATATAGTCTAAAAACCAAATGACCGAATAGCCTCAAAATTGCGTTTCTTAGCATTTGTCCTTTGACACAACCAATGCATAAAATTTGTGGCCTAATAATCTTATCATTGACCAAGCGTTCAAATCTCTTTTGAAAGACATTCCCCAATATCCTATGCATAACATAGATGAATCTTCTCTGACCAAAACACGATTTTATTCGAATGGTATCGAGTCAATTGAAAAACAAGAAGCAAGTAGGATCACACCCGAATCCATCCACCATGTTTATACCTATATTTTTACCAAATTAGGCTCAAATATTAATATGGCAATTTTCTTTCTTGCTTTGTTTTTCTTTTCACCACAATAACCTTTTCTTTTGATGTCCTTTTATTTCTACAAGATCAACATTTATCATTCCATGATTAATGTTTTTATTTAGTTTAACCTTATTCACTTTCTTGCTACCTAGTTTCTTCATGAAACTACTCTTACTATCACCGCAAGATAAGCTAACTCAGTTTTAACACCCTTGAGTCGTTTCCATTCAATAAACCAAAATGCTAACAGCTGGTTAATGCCACATTTAACTTCTTGTGAATTATAATTCACCTTAAAAAGCTGGAAAAACCTAAGCAGAAAATAGATCACCATGTGGACTAATTAACTTATTAGCAAATATGATTCTCTACTACCTCAGATCATTAACCAGCTTGCACATCTTATAAATGTACTCCCTCACTGAACCATTACCATTATATCTCACTAACATAATTCATGTCAGATAATAGTATTGTAGTTACTTCTTAATACCCACTAACTCTTTCTTGATCAAATCAAGAAGTTCCTTGGCAGTATCAAAACTAGAATACCACCCTGAATAGTATCACCAATAGAAGTATATATTAATCTAATGGCATGGTAGTACCTGTAGTTCACTTAAAAAATGCAACAACTTTTCCACCTAAGAGGACAATGCACTGGGCATATGGGTTTCTTTCTAAAACAACAGACACGTAGTCCAAGAAATCCAATATAATATCAAAACCTGTCTTCTAGGCAGTATAATTTTAACCATTCAATGGTTCAATCCTTATAAGATATCTTTAAATTGCGAAAGCGTCTGTAACCTGAATAAATGTTATATTGAATAACATCATATAAACAACATATAGTAATATATCTCAGCTTTGGGGATTATAACTTTAATTCGTGCTTGGGGTTTTAAGCTGAATTTATCAGGGTGTTTTACTATGTGCAAAACCATCCACCCCGCGGGAACAAATAAAATGTCATCTAAAAATCACCTTTTGGCAGAATTTTTAATTTTATTTTACTCTCAAACCTGCGATCAAATCGCATATAGACCTATTTGATTATACTTGAATTATTGCTAAACACTTCCACTATCTTTTGGCAAGAGGGTTATTTAGTTATAATCCAAGCACTCTCAAACATTCTACTCACTTATCCCACACTAAGACATTGATCACCTTTTGGCAGAACTAATGCCTTCATGTAGGTAAATGCACTGTGAGACCTCAATAAGACCAATGTCTTAAAAAAAATTTAAAAATAATAATAATAACCTTCGTGAGCGTGTCACCTTTTGGCAGGCATCACCCACTTTAGCTATTACCTTTGAAACGGTCACTTTACCGGTCTTCCTAAACCCTAAGAAAAGACCTAAACTGTAGATATTCGATTTTATTTATGTTCATATTTATTTAGTGCACATAAGCCAAACCCAAAATTATGGAACATTTAATTTCACTGTAATATAAATGGCTTTAATACAAATAAAATAAAGCCTCCTCATACATCTTAAGAAATTACGGTGAATAATATAATAATAACATGCACATCAATCAAGATTTAAAAATCTCAATTCTATATATACTTTAATTAAAATAAAATAACTAAACCGTGATGCATGT